TCTAAGTGCCACCATCCCACTAGTAAGAACTGAATTAAAGAACCCCAGGGACAGAGTATGAAACTTGGGAGGGACCCACAGCTGGAGGAGAGAGGGTTGGAAATGAAGGGGTTTACCTCTCCCCAGATGCCACCAGAAAGGAGAACCCCTTCCTTTAGAAGGGGACACCTACAAAGGCCAGCAGGGAGAGAAGCATGGGGACTCAAGGGGCCTCTGAGGTCCTCAGACCAGAAGCCAGATCAGTGGAGTTCCACCATTCCTCCATTCATTCATGCAACAAAAGTTTATTTAGCACTTTTTATATACTAGATGCTCGAGGGCTCACAATCCCATCTACAGCACACCTCCATTGCCTCATTTCATCCCCACAACACTCTGTAGGTGGATGCTAACATCCCCATTTTACAGACAAGAAAACAGAGGCTCAAAAAAGTCAAGCCATTTACCCAAGGTCCCACGGCCTGCAAGGGGCAGAGCTGGGATTCAAACCTGGGAAGTGCATCGGACTCCAAAGCCCATGCTCTGGACTCGTACTGCATTGATCTCTCTCAGGACCCGGCAGTAAGGTGGGCGGGGACGTAAACCACCAGTTTCAATGAGTGTAGGGAGTGCGCGTGCACTGACCCCATCTGAGGGAGCAGGAAGGTTAGGCGATGCTATGGGGCAGGGTGGGAGGCATTTGTTCATTTACTTACACATTCATTCACGGGTTTCTTCATTCATTCACTCAACATTCATACTTGTCTTTATTCAACACACATATGGGGTAAGCACCCACTAAGGGTCAGATCTTGTGCCAGCTGTTGAGGATGTAAACATGATTAAGACCCAGCCCCTGCTCTTGAGGGGCTCAGCACACTTGGAGGAGGCAGACACGGAAACAAATCACTGCCACCCAGTGTGGGTGCCTCCAAGCTGGGCAGAGTGCTGGGGAGCCCTGGAGGAGAAGCCCCTCCAATGGAGAGTGGGACACTGGAAGGGTCATTTATAGGTGGGCAAGAGGAGACACATCCTCTTCATGGTGGGGGAGTCATGTTCCAAGGCGCACAGCCACGAGAGGGCCTGGGGGCTGCATGGGGCAGGGGTGTGACTGGGGTGGGAAAGTGGGGGCACAAGTGGGGCTCAGACAGAGGCTGGGTGAGAGTTTGGACTTTCCCCAGCAGACGTGGTACTAATGGAGGGTTACAACCTGGGTAATGGTCTAATCAGGTTTGCATTTTAGAGATGGGACAGTGGTAGTGACCGAGGATGTCAGAGACAGAGGCAGAGAGACAGAATGCTCGGGCTGACAGAATCCTTTGTGAACATCTCGTGTTCCCCCAGCCCCCTGCCCCATCTTCCCCCTCGCTCGGGTCAGCTCATGCTCCATCTCTGCCTCCCACCCCCACAGGGCTTGGGCAGGGAGCCCAGGCGTGTTAGTCTGGGTCCCCTGGGAATCAGATGTCAAGACAGCATGAGACTGCAAGAGATACATTGGGTGGGGGACTTCGAAGGATGAAGGGGCAGGAATAGATGGCAAAAGCCTCCTCGGGCTGCAGGCGGGTCTGACACCCGTGAAAGGGGAGAGGAAAGGAAGGAGGCTTGGGCGGGAAGAGCCGCAGACTGCAGTGCAGCTCTGAGGATATCCGGGCAAGGCCCTGGGAGCCCCGAGCAGAGGCTGTCTGCAAGGGGAGGTGCGCACTGGGCCGGGACAGCCGCTTTAGTGCCCCTCCGTGCCCGGCTGTGGCTGGAAGCAGCCCGCAGACAGCGTGGCCTCAGCGTGGACGGCGCAGTGGATCCCCAGGTTGCAGCAGCTGGAGGCTGTCCCCTCCCTGTCCCTGTCCCGCATCCCTCTGCCCACCCAGAGAGGCAGGAAACGAAGAGAGGAAAGATGAGACCCTCACACTCCGCGGGTTCAAGCTCCTGAGGGCTGCTTGGCCTCCCAGAGCTTCTCCCTCCGACCTGGAAACTGGCCCATCATCCGGATTTGGGAGGGCGGCTGTGAGGATGCATCGAGGACAGGACCGCACAGCGCCTCTGCACGGCGCCTGGCACAGGAAAGGACGGGCGTGGCGAGGACCAGCTGCCCATCCTGAGTGGGTCAGAAGGAGAGCCCGGGGCTTGGCCGGGGGTGGGGAGTGTGGGGGGAGTGGGCAGGGCCATCTGGACAGGCCCCTGCGTGTCCCCTCTCCCCGCAGGCTATGGCAACCTGAGCCCCCACACGATGGCCGCCCGACTCTTCTGCATCTTCTTTGCCCTCGTGGGGATCCCGCTCAGTCTCGTGGTGCTCAACCGCCTGGGCCACCTCATGCAGCAGGGAGTGCACCGCTGCGCCCGCAGGCTGGGGGGCGCTGGGCGGGCGAGGGCTGCTGGAGCTGGGGGTGGGCTCCTCCGAGAGTGAGGGCTGCCGTGGGAAGCTGGGTTACTTGTGGGGATGGGAGGGATTGGGGCGTCCCTGGCCAGAGTGGGGTCCTGAGTAATAAAGGGGCATCCGCGGTGGAGACAGCATGGGGCCTGGGAGACAGGAAGGACACAGGCAGCGAGGACACAGGCTCTTGGCCGGAAACCTGGAGAACACAAACCAGGTGAAAGGGGCCCTGGGCAGCCCCCTTCTTACTTGGGGGAAGCGCTAGCTGCCCCCAGCACGACACCGCAGGCTGCCTGCTCCCTCGGCCCCCAGGTGCTGGCAGAAGCTGCGGGGGCTGGGGCGTGGCTGAGGCACTGCGCCACTGCGCGCACCCACAGGACCCCAGCAAGGCGCGGTGGCTGGCGGGCTCCGGCGCCCTCCTCTCGGGCCTCCTGCTCTTCCTGCTGCTGCCCCACCTGCTCTTCTCCCACATGGAGGGCTGGAGCTACATCCAGGGCTTCCACTACGCTTTCATCACCCTCAGCACCGTGGGCTTCGGCGACTACGTGATCGGTGAGGCCCCCAGCGGGCGGGCTGGCGGGAGGGGCCATCCGGAGATTCAACTGCCTCCACCTCCCACTCCCCTGCTCCCGTGGTCCAGAGACACAGCCCTGCCTGCCTTTGCTGTGTGATGGGCTGAGGTCGCTCCTGACATCGTGACCTGCCCTGAGAGGTCCTCACGTGGCCACAGGCCAACCTATTGTGCGTAGAGCCCTCCAGATAAGGGGAGTCCCTGACCGCCCTCCCCTGTCCGTCCTTGCCCCAGGTCTCCCCTCCCCGCTTCACTCCCCCACTCCAGGGAGCGCCAGCCCATCCCACAGCTCCTGGGCTGGAGGTCACAGCCCTCAGGGTCAGGCGGCAGAGTCTGGAAGGCTCATGAAACCCCAGCGTCCCCGGAGAGCCGTTGGAAACGATTGGCAGCCAAATTCTGCGTGCCAGCCGGGACAGCAAGACAGGGCCTCGTGGTCCAGAGGACCCAAGGTGGGGTTTTTTTGTCTTTTTTTTTTAGAATTTTTTTTTCTTTAATTTCAGCATATTATGGGGGTACAGATGTTTAGGTTGCGTATGTTGCCCTTGGTCCCCCCCCAAGTTCGAGTTTCAAATATGTCCATCCTTCGGGTGGTGCGCATTGCCAAGGTGGGGTTTAATCAGTGGTCACTGCCCCACATAGGCAAGACAAGCGCCCCAGAAGCCACTAACCTTGCATGATAAAGCTGAGGCGGATGCCCAGCAGGTGGCAGTGGAGGGACATCCCGTGCAGCATCAGGGGTGGCTGAGCCAGCCCAGCTTCATCATCCCCCTCTTCTCCCACCCTGGCCTCAGGGGGCTTTCTACCCTCCCTCTGACCCTGTGGCCCTAAAGTGGGGAGGAGGCCTTGCTCCTTCTCACCCCTTCAACAACAGATCCCTGCCTGGAACACTGAAAGGAAGTTTTACCAAAGAAACAGCTAACTCAGCAGGTCGTCACCCCCATTTTACTGAGGAGGAAGCTGAAGCTCAGAGAAGCCAAGCCATCTGCCCAAGATTGCACAGCTCTGAAATATGAATTCTGATCTATTTGACTCCAAAATTCATACCCTTTCTAGACTGCCTAAAATGTCCCTTTTCTGGGTCTCAGTGTCCTGGTCTGTAAAATGAGGTGATTGCTAAGACCCTTCAGTGCCGTCTGGCCTCTGTGTGCAAGGAACCCTTCCTGAACCTCTCCTTGCCCAAGAAAGGGGACCTGGTGCTAGGGGCTTCGTGCTACCCCCTTCCTGATCTTCCCAATCTTGGGAGGAGGGCTCTTGTTCTGGAAGGAAATCCTTCTACCTGGGGGGTGTTTCCATCTTTACTCTCAGAGTAGAGAGAAGTGTCTGAGAAAGCTGAGCCCTGCTCCTCCAAGGGCCACATCTGCCCTGCTCACAGCTCAGAGAATGACTTTTGGATCTTTCTTCTCTTCTCTATTCTCACTGTCATTTCCCTTGTCCAGGCAAGTCGGTTGCATACAGTTGCACAGGTTGGGCACTGCACAACCCTATAGGTTTGCCATTCACACAGAGCATAATGAAGATGGCACTCATGGAGTTGTGCAGCCCTGTATCCTTGTCCCCCCTTGGCTCTCGTAATCTTTAAAAATTATAAATGGGTTTATAATTATAAATTGTAAATGAGTTTATAGATGTGTTTCAAGCTGTGAAGAGTTTACGACTTCAGAGACCACATATGGTGCAAACGCTGGTAAGAATCTGAATGATGAGGATGTCACAGAAGAGTGAGAACGCTTCCATGTCGTATTTGATGTATGTTTCATTAGAGGAGCTCGAGTGTTTGGGGAGGTGGGAAGGGAAGAGTCCCAAGGAGAAGAGTCCGCTGCCACTTTTCATGGTAAAGCCATCCTTCCGCGGGCCGCCACTGATCTCATTTGGGACTGTCAGCGGAATCATGGCCCCATAACCCAATCAGCCTAATCCAATCCCAGCTGCTCCCCATAGCAGCACTCAGCTCTGGGCTGCAGCCTCACCCCCAGCGGGGGTCCCAGAGAGGGGCCCATCCTGTGGGACCTGGATAGAGAGGCTGTCTGGGGGCCTGCAGGACAGGACGAGCAGTAGACAGGAGGGGCAGGGAGCCGAGGCACAGGTGGAGGAAACAGGAGGGCAGATCTCCACCCTTTGAATGACCCCCGTCTAATGAGGGAGGCAAGACAGAGCCCCAGGGAGGGAAGTAAGTTACAGACAGAGCATGCCATGGCAAGCGTTATCTGAGACACAGCGACCCCGTCTGCCCTTCCCAGCCATTATTATCCAATACAGACTGCACTGCACTGCGGGATTTGATGGGAGTAAAACAACCAACCACAGGTCTGAGCGCTGTCAGCCCTGGCACTGTAGCTGCATCAGCCCGTGTGGTCCCCCGGCAATCGCAGGAGGAGGGCCCTTACCGTCTCCACCTGACAGCCGAGGGAGTCACCTGCAGGACAAGGGGAGGTAACCGGGCCAAGAGGAATTGGAAGTGAAGAGCATTCAGAGCTGAGGGAACAGCAAGCACAAAGGGCCTCTGGCAGGAAGGATGACAGATGTGCATGGGGAAAGAGCGGCAGGGCAGTCAGAGGGAGAGACGTGCTGCAGAGGTAAGGCTTTGGAACTTCACCCTAAAAGCCCCGGGAGCAATTATGTTCCCCTGCAGGAATTTCACAGGAGAGGGGTGTTCAGATAGATGGCAATCACGTGCACCTGAAAACTGAGGCAGGACATGCACCCCAGCGGTTTTACCCATTCTTCCTAAACCCCCTGCCTCCAGCACGCTGCCTCCTGGCAGACGTGAGAAAACCAAACACAGAGACAGACAAAGGATAGAGCAGGCGTCAGAGTCTCCTGGAGGCATGTTCAAGCGCGGACTGCTGGGCCAGCCCCAGAGTCTCTGAGTCAGAGGTCTGCAGTGGGGACCCCATCATGTGCATCTCTGACAAGCTCTCGGATGACGCTGATGCTGCTGGTCCAGGGACCACACTTTGAGAACCACTGGGACAGCGCATAAACAGAATCTCTCAGAAAGGGAAAGAGGAAATTTAGCGTCAAAGCCCAAGCACCAATGCAGGGAGGCTTTCTGGACCCCTAGGAAGGTGACGGTGAAAGCCAGAATCAGATCAGGGTGTGTTTCCCATGTTCTGTCCTGCTGACCCCTCAGCTTGCTCATGTGACTCAGCCATGCATGCCGCTTCCGTTTGGGGAATGCGGCCCTGACTTTGCCAGGCCTCCATCCTCTGACCTCGGCTCTTCCCCAGGGATGAACCCCTCTCGGTGGTACCCGCTGTGGTACAAGAACACGGTGTCCCTGTGGATTCTCTTTGGGATGGCGTGGCTGGCCTTGATCATCAAACTGATCCTCTCCCTGCTGGAGACGCCAGGAGGGGCGTGTTCCTGCTATCACCACAGCTCCAAGGAGGACTTCAAGTCCCAAAGCTGGCAGCAAGGCCCAGATGGGGAGCCGGAGTCCCACTCCCCACAACAAGGCTGCTGTCTAGAGGGGTCTATCGAAATCATACAGCACCTGGAACCCTCTACTCAGGTTGCACACTGTGGCAAGGACAGCTACTTTACTCCATTATTTGCTCGATCTTCCGCCTCAGGAACAAGACCTCTCATCTTAAGCTTGGCACATGACTACCCAGACTAAAGACTACATTTGCCTCCTCCCTTGAGGCTAGATACAGCTATATGACTAAATTCTGCCCAGTAAGATATACAGAGAAGTATCCTATGTGACATGGAATGTGACTTTCAGGTAGGGCAAAGCATTCCCCTTTTCCCCACTTCCTTACTCTAGCTGGCTGCAATGCTGATATGGTGGCTGGAACTCTGGCAGCCCTATTGTGCCATGAAGTAGGGGCCATGTTTGCGACTAGTGGCAAAATAAGATAGAAAGAGCCTAGATCCCTGATGACTGCAGAGCCATCAAAACAAACTTGGACTGAATACCACCAGATTTCACTTATGTGAGAGAGAAATAAACATCTTATTTAAGACACTATCATTTGGGTTTTTCTGTCACTCATAACCAGACCTAATTCTGATTGATATACACACCCAGCGACAAAGAGAGCTTCTGAGACTGGAGCCTATACAGAGGGAAACCACCCCTTTCCCAGGTGAGTTTGTCCAGGACTGGTGGTGAGAATGGATTGAGGCCTGGACTGCTGCCCCCCGCCCCCATACCTTCAGAGACCCTCCAGATAAATTCACTCAAGATTTACTGATAACGCTCAGGACTGCTACAACCAGCAGGTGGCTAGTCCCAGTTCAGCTGCTGACCCCTTGCTCATTCACACCACAGAAAAGCCTAGGGCAGGCCAGTGGGCTCCTCCTGCCTCGCCCTGCCCCCCTGTGTTTGAAGGCTCCAGCCAGTTTGCAGAGCCAGGTGGGTTTGAGGAGGCCACTTCTGTTCGCAGAGAGTCTCACCTTGAGCATTTCTGTCTCTCACTCAGGGCTGCTAGTAAGGCAGCACATAACATATCGGTCCCCACCACACACACCTACACACCCAGGTCCTACAGCCCAGTCAGGAGCCCCAGGCTGTACCAGCCAGCACCCTAGGGTCACCTGGGGCAGCTAGGTTCTTGCCCTCAGCGGGCTCCCGTGACTCTGGTCCCCCACCCATCCTAGGGGTGGCATCACAGGGACCCAGGGAGCTCCATGTGGCCCTTCCCTGAGGACAAACCTGTCAGCCTTGGAGCCCTCCTGGAACTGGGTCAGGGGTAGCCTTTTGGCCAGTGAAGCTGTGAAGCTATTACACCATCCTACTTGCACCATCTGGCCTAAGTGGACCAAGGCCAGGAGCAACACCAGGGAGTAAACACAGGGTCCATGCTCACTTCTCAAGGCCACCAGTCTCAGCTATGCTGAGACTCCCCCATCCCTAATTCCTCTGGCCTTTACCTCACCTGGCCCCACCCCTGGGCTCTGGGCCCAGCATGTGCTGTCCTGAAGTAGGCCCCACTGACCGCCCTGTTCCGCCCTCCCCAAACCACACACAGTGCGGGCTCCACACACACTGCTGTCCCTGGGCCTCCCACTCACTGTCCACCCCCCACCCACACACACACACTGCTGTCCCTGGGCCTCCCACCCACTGTCCACCCCCCACACACACACACACACTGCTGTCCCTGGGCCTCCCACCCACTGCCCACCCCCCACCCACATACACACACTGCTGTCCCTGGGCCTCCCACCCACTGTCCACCCCCCCAACCCACACACACTGCTGTCCCAGGTCTCCAGCCACACTGATGCTCCCTCCCCTCCCCCAGCAGACAGTGCTGGACCCTGTATCCCCTGCCCCTCCTTTGCTCTTTGCTAGCCAAAACCATCTCCAGCTAAAATTGTCCCTCAGGGCCAAGGAGAAGCCACCGTCATCCCCCAAGTCCTCCTCAGCCCATCCCTAGGGTCTTTGTCCAAGATTTCCAGTCTCCGCCCTGCCCCAAACACAAAACCTCTCCCAACCCATCAGGGACCCCACACCAGCCCAAGGCCTGGTGACAGGAAGAACAGCCAGAGCTGATGCCTCCCAGGCAGTGGCCTGCTCTCCCGCCCCACCAGCACGTTGTCCAGAGTGTGAAAGCAAATCCCTCCACACTCACCGTCCACAGCCACTGACAGAACCCCCTGCCCTCTGCCTGGCCGTGGGGTAGGGCCCTATTCAAAATTGCCTGTGCTCCAAACTTTCCACATCTTGTTAGAACTTTCATCTCATTTATTCTTCCCTGGACTCAGGCAGGTGTGTCTCTCTATCCTAATTTATCACTTGCTGGTTGAGTGACATTTGAGAAGACAGGAGCCTCAGTCTCCCTATCCATGAAATGGAAATCTCATGCCGACCTTGAGATTGTATCGATGAGTGTGGAGGAGGATGAGGGGGGTGGCTAACAGATGAGACAGCACCCATCCATGTTGCACTGGGACAAAATAGGGCTCAAAAATATCTGCTCCCCTCCTTTAATCTTCTTGGGCTCAAGTTCCCCCCTTGAGCCTCTTTCATCAGGCAGCTCACGAAGCCAGTCTGCACCCCTTCCTCCAGGAAGTCCTCCTGGACTTGCCTGCCCTCTAGCCTCCAATGGACTTGAGAGGGGCAAGATATGAGGCGGCGTGGAGGGAACACATTTTGCAGAGCTCTGGGAGGCGAGAAGACAGACTGTGAAATGAGAGGGAGGGTTGACATGGCGACTTGGGTTGTCTTGGCGGCTCCCCAGCAGCCCACTGGCCATGGCGTCTAAGGGTCAGGTCATTGGCCTGGGGGTGGGGCCAGAGGGCTGGGTGGGGGTGGGACTTTGGCACCATTCTCTCGCGTTACTCTTGCTTGGCCCCCGTCTCCATCCACTCTCCGACTTTCTCTGAACCCTGAAACCCCTGGGGGAGTGAGGGGGAGACAGGAGCTGACCTCCGTGGGCTGTGTCACCAGGCGCCTTCGGTCTGTGGCTCCAGTTCGATCAGGCCTGAGAGAGAACGTGGCGGCGGGCAGGAGGCGAGACGAGTTCTCCCGGCAGGCCCTGGTCTTCGCAGTGGCTGTGCTCCCAGGGCAGCGGCACCGGCTGGGTGCTAGTGACAGCACCTCCCTTGCCCCTTTATCCCTGGAGTGGCAATGACTCCTCACTGTCGCTAATCCCTGGGAGCTGCACCATCCTACACACGCTGACCTACCCGCACTCTACACACATTATATCACATGCTCTTCAAAGGACCCTTGGAAAGTGCCGTTTGTTCCTGGCAAGAACCCCGCTGAGCCAAACTCGCAGCGCATCAATCTCCCACCACCTCTTTGCAACACGGCTGGGGGACCGGGGCTCAAAGCACTGAATTAAACCCACAGAGGACTCAATCCAGCTGCCCTGACCAGGGAATGGCTCCAGCTCTTGCACTGGGTAATGGCAAGAGGGTGGAGACCCAGACAGGGTGCCAGGCAGACCCCATCGCCCTGGCCTGTGGGCAAAGCAGCATGTCCTTGACCTTGCAGAGAAGTCAGGCAGGAAGGGACAGGCCCTGTCCCCAGCATGGAGCTCCTCCATCAGACTGGGAGCTCCATGGCATCAGAAACGATGTCTCCCCCACCTGACCAGGTGCTCCCTACACACAGGACCTGTATTTTACCTTGTTATCCCCAGTAGCTAACTCAAGCACAGACAGCTCAGTGCAAAACTCAGAGACACAAATGTACCCAGCACAATGCCAGCCACCTAGTAGGGAAGCAGATTCATATAAATGTCCCCATAGTCGGGCTCATACCTGTAATCCCAGCACTTTGAGAGGCCAAGGTGGGAGCACCCCTTGAGCCCAGGGGTTCAAGACCAGCCTGGGTAACATAGTGAGACCCTGTCCCTACAAAAAATTTTTAAAAATTAGTGAAGCATGGTGGCGTATGCCTGTAGTCCTAGCTACTTGGGAGGCTGAGCCAGGAAGATAGTTTTAGCTCAGGAGTTCCAGGCTACAACAAGTGACGATCGTGCCACTGCACTCCAGCCTGGGTGACATAGCAAGACTGTCTCTAAAGAATAAATGAATAATAAAAGGCCCCATAAGGCAGTGTCATGTGTGACGTGCTGGTGGCCCAGAGCTTGGTCCCTGCCTGGGTGCAATCTCAGGCTTGTCACTCACTCCTGTGAGACCTTGGGCAAGTCACTTCACCTTGGGGTGACCAACTCATCCCGATTTTCCTCAGACCATCCAAGAAGCTCTTTAGTCCCAGGAAAAGTGGGACAGTTTGTCCACCCCACGCAGCCTCCCTATGCATCAAGTTCCTCAAATGTCAACATGGAAATGCTAAGAGCCGTGTGCGCCTCACACGGAAGGCTGTTGTGTGGATGAAATGAGTTCGTGCAAATCGAGAACTTCGAAAGCATCTGGCACAGAGTGGAGGTCTATATAATTTGTCTTCTCTGGCTGAGTTCCCCGGCGGCAAATTCTGGGACAGGATTTGGCTGCAAGTGGTTTACTTGGGAAGTGATTCCAAGAAGTAAAACACAGAAAGAAAAGACTCATTAAGGGGCAGGTAACTGCTGCGGGCAGCTGGGCTCCATCCCGCTGGAGACCTGCACAAGCTGCACAGAGCACGCCGCCAGAGCTGTGCCCTCTGAGCGGCGAGGTAGCCGAGATATATAATCCCCAAATCCCATTCTCATTGCTTGAGGCTGTCCCCCAGAGTAGGAAGGTGTTCGCTCCCCAGCACGTGAGGTTGCAAGCCTGCAGAGTACATGGGTGCAAGTGCAGACCAGGCACTGTTAGCATCGGCCACGGACGTGCTGACCATTCTTGGGACACACAGAGGTCTGGGGCAGGGGGCGCAGCTGGCCGCTGTGGGAGAAGGGAGCCAAGACAGGGGGCGGGAATGTCCAGGTGAGCTTTGAAGCCTGCGTAGGAGTTTTCCAAGCAAAGGAGGAGGCAGGCCTTATACACAGTGGGTGCACAATAAATGTTTAGATGCCTGTCACAAAAACATTTAAATGAATGCCAAATAAGTTGAGAGTGATTCAAAACCTTCAGCTAGTAGGGTTGACTCGATGCTAGAGAGCTATAGACAGAGGGGAGGGGAAGCAGTCAGCCCGGAGGCATCAGGAAAGGCTGGATCGGGGCACAAGGACCTGAGCCGGTCACTGGCGGACAGGTGAAGAGGAGGGAGACCAAGCAGACCAAGTAGAAGAACCTTGGACACTGAGGTGGAGAAGCAGGAATGAGCAGAAGCAGAAAGGAGCACCAAAGAAGAGGAAGGGGAAAGAATGGAAAGGAAGGGAGAAAGCAGGGGAAGAACCGAACCCGAGGGAGGAGGAGAATCGACCTAGACTGCTCCATCACAGGCGTGGGAGGAGAACCCGGACTCCGGCATCACAGAGGTAGAAGAACCGCGATAACGTGGTGGCATCGGGTTCTCAAGTCCTGAGTCCTGCCCGAAGTGGAGGCCAGAGCCATCGGGAAGGCTTCCCACGGGAGGGAGCCCTGAGCCACCAGGAGGCCACTGAGAGTGGCATGCATTGTTGTTTTTGTGGCCACGCAGCAGAACCATCTAGGCAGGTACTTAAAACAAAAGCAGTTCATTAAAACAACCAGTAAGTTGTTTTTCTCCCCAGAATTTTACCTATTACATGAATAGATCTTCTGATTGCTTTGGAACCCTTTAGGTAAAACCATCACCTCATTTTACTCTGAAAGAATACAGATAAGGAAGCTGGGACTGGTGGCCTGCGCTTGTAGTCCCAGCTACTTGGGAGGATTGCTTGAGTCCAGGAGTTCAAGACCAGCCGTGGCAGCATAGCAAGACCTCATCTCAGGGGAAAAAAAAAAAAAAAAAAAAACAAGAATATAAGGGATAAAAATGTTATGAATCTTACTATTTCTGATTAATATTTCATGACTAAATTAATCTTAAAGTTTTTTCTGCAGATAATGCCTGACCATAAATATCAGACCTGGGCTACTTTACATTATAGGGTCCTTGGGGACAAGGAATAAAAACATTATTTGCTGCAGTTATATAGTAAAATATGGTGAAAATAAATTATCTATAGTATGTCATTGTTATCAACATCTTAGTTATAACATGATAATGCTGTGACAATAAAGAAGGAATTGTTATTGACAAGTACTATGAGAGAGAGATGTAGTTTTTCTCAGTATAAAAATAGAAATTAAATTTCTTTGATAAATACCCAGTGTTTTTGTAGTAGGGTGTCAGCTAAGTCAAGCATAGTGCTTAAGTGCACAGATCCTGAACTCAAAGTGCCTGGCATCAAATCCCAGCTTTACCACTTGGAAGCTATGTGTCCTTGGGTAATTATTTAACCGTTTGTATACTAAGTTTTTAATACACGAAGTGAATATACTAATATTTCCTTCCTCAAAGAGAGGTTGTAAGGGTTAATATTCATGAAAGCAATTGGAACTGTGCTTGGTATTCATATTTAGTGCTAAAAATGATAGCCTATATCTACCTACCTCTGAATAATTATTATTCTTTCTACCCTTTATTCTCTTCACATTTCTCACTAGTGATTTTACCGTGATGGTCTAGAGCTAAACTGGAATGTTTTTTTTAAAAATGTTGCATAACATAAGTGCACATATAAGAATAACATCTATTGGATGTCGGGCAGGGGGGAGGGAGAAGGGGAGGAGGGGGTAGGGGACGGGTATATGCATACACAAAGAGTGCAATGCGCACCACCCGAAGGATGGACATATTTGAAACTCGGACTTGGGGGGGGGCGCAAGGGCAACATACGTAACCTAAACATTTGTACCCCCATAATATGCTGAAAAAAAAATTACCACAAAAATGTTGCATAACTCTTCAATGCACAGACATATACACAAAAATATGCAGAAACACAATGTGCATGTGGAACTGATAAGCCTCAGGGGATGGCTTAGAACCCCAAATGCTTTTGTTACAAAACGTACTCAGCTCTTGTGCCTGCTTAAAGTGGGGTTAATGTTGGGAATTAAAACACCCTGGATTTTGAAATAGAAATGGACCTCAGAAGCCATGAGTCTAGCCTCTGTCCTGTATAGGAGATCCTTCGACAGAATATTTACACAGCTCCTACTGGCATAACATTAGCGACAGAAAGTAAGTTGCCTATAAAGCAGCCTCTTTCCTTTAATCAATGCCTCCTAATTTTATTGAGCACAAAGGTGCTCCTTCAACATCCAGGCCCTGGGTAGTTTCATTTATTCTGAAAATAACACAGAGTAAGTCAATTCAGTATGTCTTCATAAAAAAACCAGTGTTATTATACAATAATACATGGATACAATAAACAAACAAACAAACAAAAAGTAAAGCTTGATAAGTTTTGGGAAATATTCCTGAAACTATCACTTGAGTCAAGAAATAAAACAGTGGCTACTACCCCAGGATCTTTTCTTTGTGCCATCCCAACCATAACTTTTCCCTGTCCCCTGGAGTATCCACCATCCTGAAGTTTATAGTAATCACCTCCTTGCATTTTAGTAGGTTAACTACTCAAATGTGCATCTCTAGAAAATATTGCATAGTTTGGCTAATTAAAAATTTTTGTATGTCTTAAGTCTCTTCCAATGTTAGAATCTTTTGTGGAATATACTCTTAGATTTCTCTTCCCAGACAAAGCACATGTCAGCTAATCCTAACACTGCATGACCTTTGATTACCATGCATTTCTGGTTGCTCTCCACTGGACACACTGTGATTTATCAAATGTCTTAAATTAGTAGTTCAAGAATAAGCACAACAGTCTACTTGTGAAACACTACTGAAGAGAACAGTGAAGCATGTGATCTGCGTACATTTTCTAAAATGCCCGTTAGTTATTTGTAGCAGGTGTAAGCATTACTGGACCTTCATAAATTTTGGATCACATAAGGCCCTACGTGTTCTTATTAGAAATGCTGCCAATCCAGGAATTATACCTTATGTGATTTAATGTTGTGAACCCAAATATAAGACTTTTCATCTTATGCCCGGGCAGTCCCACACACCACTAGGAAGGTCCCCACTGCTGTGCTGTGCTGCGTTTGAGACTGAGTTGTGAGTGGACAGCATTTTACACAGTTTCTCATCCACACTGCCGTCTTGGATGGGACCCCAGCCTTTCCAGTTGCAGGTCCAAGGTGTCATTTTGTGAGTCAGACATTGGGCAGAGCCCTGTCCTTGGGCTGAATTTGGGCTTAATGCAGCCATAGCTCCTGCCTGGCTGTCAAGGGGCAGGGAAACTTTGGTTTCCTAGGATAATTCCCATTGCACACATCTGGGATGGTGCCCACCATCCTGCAGCTAGCAACTGTGAGACCGAGCCTTGAGTAAACTGCACTCCCCACAGTTTCCTGCCAGGATAGCCTCCTTGAGACGGGCCCCCCGTCTCTGGCCACAGGACCAAGGCACCATTTTGGGAGTTTGAAGCTGGGCAGCACTCCACCTTCAGGCTGAATTTGGGCTGATGCAGACTTCTCCAGCTGAGGAGGAACAAGGGAGCATAAGCTCTCCAACATACCACCTAGAACAATTTCCACCGTCCTGGTATGGGCTACAGTGAGACCAATACATAAGAAGATGACACTCCCACCAGCATCTTGCCCCCACCATTTGCCTAGAAGGGGCCCTACCCTCTCTGCTTACAGGACCACAGTGCCATTTCAGGACTTTAAAGCCAGGTAGCACCCTGCCTTTGTGCTGAGCTTGGGCTGAGGCAACTGCAACCCTGCTCAACTGAGTAGGAATAGAGGAATCCAAGCTCTTCTACCTACTCTTTGAACAATTCCCACTGCCCTGCTACAAGCTGCAGTGTGACTGAGACACAAGTGGATGCACTTCACCCAGTATCTTGCCCACACTGTTTGCCTGGAAAGGGCCCCACCCTCTCTGGTCACAGGCTCAAGGTAACCTTTGCCATGTTGGCAGTTTAAGACTGGGCAGCCCAGGAAGTGATGTGGAGATGGAACCTCCCTTCCTCCAACCACCCAATGCTTCAGACATTGCCCCCTCTGCTCCTAAGCATGAACTTCTGGTACGGGTGAGCTGCTGGACAACCAGTTCTAGGCTAGCAGTGGAGGTACATTCCCAAGAGTACTCTGCTCACCATGCCTGGGTTCTACACATAGAGTGTAGCTCATTTCCTCCCTTCACATACAGGCAGTGTATTTGCAGCTGTCCCAACACAGGAGTCTTAGCCTCTGGGGCTCTACATCACTGGATCCACAGCCAATGCTCCCTAGGACCCATTCAGGCCACTGCAGCTTTAGGGGACTCATGAGTCCCAGGGGTACTGTGGGTCTTCTGGAGCTTGGGCATTCAGGGTGGAGTACGTGCAGCTGAGAGGAGAGTGTAGCATGCAGGAGGGTCCCTTAGGACAAAGGGATCTAGCGTATCAGCTCCCCACCATTTGGGGCCTTCTTCTCCTCCTCCCCTCCCATACTCACTGCTGCTGAGGCAGCTATGGCTGTTTCCACTCAAGACCAGAGAGGGTTCCATGGGAGAAGAGTAAGCCATGGCACTTGGGAGTGGCTGCCCTGCCTCTGACAGGGCACCTAACACACCGAAAATTCTACAGAGCTTGGGGCACACTCCCTTTCCAGTAAAAATCCACAGCAAATACTTTTGTGTTCCCCGAGGACTAAAGCTATTGCCTCCCCCGAGAGAGAGCAAGGCTAACAGTCCTGTTCCTGAGGCTCTTGTCTCTCCTGGGATGAGCCTACTCTCCCAGGAGACAAGTCCTTGGCACACCCCCACATTTCCTGCCAGAGCATTTCAGCCACAGCCCACAGCCAATCTGGTAACCCTTCACAAGGTGGGTTGAGCCGTCCCCACCACCACTGCTGTAGCTGGGTCAGGGAGGGAGCTTGAAATCTGAGTACCTTTGTGTCCCCAAAGGACAGAAACTGCTGTCACTGCTGGGGGTGGGGGTGTGGGAGTGTGTACATCCCACAGCTGCCTTTATCTGCTAATATCATCAAAAGGGGCCCACCATCCTGTCACAGGGTCACAGTGCATCCACCCTTCTGCCTTAGCATTGTTCCAGAGCAGGAGATCACCCCAACCCTCACTATCACAGCCAGAACCTGAACTCAGGGAGACCAGTCTCAGTCTGGTCCCCTCAGGACTCAAGCACAGCTGGAAACTGGGGATTACCTAACCTAGTCCACCACTGCAGGCACCTGAACACTCTCCCGGGGGTCTGAGGCCCAACTGACCTAAATTGCCAGTAACAAAACAGTGGGCACCTACCTGCATGAGCTGAAAGGCAGTGTACCTGTCCCTCTCTACACTAAGCAGCAGAGGTGGAACCACAAGGTTGTCTGTTTTGAGCTGAAGGAAGGGGTTCCAGATGAGAAGGAATCAGCATAAAAACTCTGGTAGTATAAGAAAACAGGCTCCCTTGACACCCCTAAAGAATTATGCTAGCTCTCCGGCAATGTACTCCAACCAAAATGAAACTATTAAAATATAAGATATGGAATTCAAAATATGGATCA